TCGCTGTCGGCAATCAGAGTTGGGCTGCAGCGTATGAACGGCGCGCTGCAAATGGCATTGACCCGTGACCCCGCCGGCTGCGATTGGCGGACGCTGAGCGAGCTGCCTGACTAAGCGCCGGACCTTGCTGAACGAGAGTTAACAGGAATGCTGGTGTGACCACGTTCGGTGTGTTGGGCCTTGGTGATGTTTATTTGACGCGGCATTCGGTCGCCTAGGCCACCGGAGGCGTAAGATCTCATGCGGATCGTCGCGGATGGCACAGAAACGCGGCGGTAGTCGGATTCGAACACACACCCTCGCGATTGCGAATCAAGCGCTCTAGCGCTGAGCGAGGATGTGCAGTGCGCACTGGAGCTGGCTGACGGTTACTCCGCTGATCGTGCTCCGTCGAATATGACCGTGAGCTGTCCCCCGAGTCCTCTTTGATGGATCGTTCACCGAACAGAAGGCCGTATCTGTCTGCGGCCAGCCGCTCACGTTGTGCGTTGACCCTGGTAATACTCCCACGTTATCATTGTGTGAATGACATCGTACCTGAAGCGTGGTGCGCGTCCGGACAAATGGGCGACGCGAGCGCGCACGTGACGTCACTCACGCACCGCCGCACGCACTGGCAGCGGCGCCCGCGCGCTCACGCCCACGGCACGCGCCGTCAGGGCAGGGCCATTGTCACGTGCCGGGATCAACGGAACTCCACCTCGTCCGGGTGCCAGTCTCTGGCCTGCGTTCGTTAACCGGCGGGCCGCGCTGCGAGCGCGGGTGCGGCGGCGGCCGGGCCGTCGCCACTCGGCGCGGCCGGCGGCCGTCGGCCGTCGTGTCGACACCGGCTCGACCTCGGCCCCGACGGACACTCCCACGTCCCCGGCCGCCGCCGCCCGCCGCCGCCCGCCGCCCCGGGCTGGGCCCAGCGGCCGCAGGTCAGCGGCGGCCGCGGGCGGCGGCGGCGCTCGCGCACCGATAACAGCGGCTGCGTCGCCGGCCGAACAGCTTGCTGGTGGTGTTGCTCGCGACTCGCACCAGTCACCCGTTCCGTCGCTGGACACCAGACTTGCAGAGGGCGCAGTGGCGGGGTCGCCGCTTCATTGAAATTTTGGTCATTAGACCTGAGCGATTTGAGTCTCGCCTTTTGCCAAAATTTAACTGAGCGGTTTCGCAGCGACCGGCGTGGGAGTTTGCAGTGCTGTGACAAAGGCAGCTATATGCGGCGGAAAAACGTAACTTATTGTCATTATGATGGTGCTTGTTTTGATTGTTTTGTATTCTTAACGATTGTTGTTATTCGTGGCGGCAATGGCCGCGCGTGGTTAGCGGCGGTGACGCGAGTTCGTGTGAAGTGGAGCGGACCCGTGAGTGAGCACGGTGCTGTCGGTCGACGCCCCGCGCTGTGAAGGTGAGCGGGCCCGTATGTGAGCACGGCGTCGCCGGTCGACGACTCGCGCTCGTCCGCTGGTGGGCTGGCAACCCAGCCTGTTGCGGTCGGCGGCGGGGAGGGGAGGGTCAGGGTGTGCCGCGCACTGTGACTGCTGGCCCCGTCGGCTGCGGCCGGCGCCGCCTAACCGAGCCGTGTGGCGCCTCCCGACAGAGAGTCCGCCGGTGCCGCTGCCGCGCCAGAGCCGCCAGCACAAGTCGTCATCAGGTGGGCGGCGGCGTGTGCCTGTGTCTGTCGTCCGTGTGTCCGTGTCGGCTCGGCGCGGCGCAGCTGGGGCTGCAGCCTGTCGCCCGCTCGCCCGCCCGCCTGCCCGCCGCCCGCCGCCCGCCCGCCCCGCACGCCCGGCCCGCTGGCCGCCGGTGCCTCCTGCTGATGCACGGCTGTGTCACCGGCGCGGCTTTCACCGCTCGCTCGGCGTCATCGTCACGGCGCCAGCGGGCGCCGCCGGTGGTAACGCGGCCGCCGCACGCGCTCGCAGTGCCGCCGGCGGCGCCCGGGCCCCATTGTTGTGCCTGCCGCCTCTGTTTCGGTTCCGCCGGCGCGTCGTCTGGTTTTGTTTGCGGTGGCGCTCGCCATTGTGCCGGTTGTTTGGTTGCGCCGTTTGTCGCCAGTTCGTGCTAGTGGTTCGGTTTTTGGCCGGCGGGTCGGGAGCCGCCGCGCCGTAGCTGCTCTGCACGGCTGCAGTGCGCTGCATGTTTTTGCCCTCGGTTCGGAGCGGGTTGCGTGGCGGCCGCAGTGCGGCGGGCCCGTCGGCGCCGCGCCGGCTCCGACCGGCCGCTCTCACGGCTGGCGCGCGCCTCCCACGGCTCGCTTCCGACGGCCGCGGGCGCGTCCCCACGTCGTCGTCGCGCGCCTCATCTCCGATTTTGTCCGGCACCAGTGTCCCGCTTTCCCGATGTGCCGGCCGCTGCTCTGGCCGACCGGCGGCCAGTCCGTACTCGCCTGCGTCTCGTGACGGGTGGTGTGGTCGTGCCCCCTCCCTTGCCGACCTCCGCGGAGTCGGTGGTCCGACGTTACGTGAAGCCAGGGCGTCAGTGATTGAGGGGTGATGGCTTAAGGGCGTCCGTGTAGTGCGAGATCCGGGTGTGAGTCCGTCCTCAGCAATCTCCGTCGAGCCCGAACTCCATCATGGCGCGACGACGCCAATAATCCAAACAGTCGCATGCGCCGATAAATAATCCCGCCACCCGGTGTGACATGTGTAGCCGCGCCGCCGCCGGCGCCCGCCTGAACCCTGCCCGCTGACGGCAGCGCCTGATCTCATGCTGCGCCCGGAATGCGGTGACATTGACTTTTGCACGCATTGCATGGTAGGGCGCAGCTGCCGGCGGCAGGGCGGCGCGCGGGCGGCCGCAGTGGGCCGCCGCCGCCGCCGTCGCTGCCGCCCGGCTGACCGCCGCCCCGTGCCGCAGGTGAGGGCGCCGCCAGTCCCAGCAGCCGGGCCCGCCGGCGCGCGCAGCGTCGCGTCACAAGGAATGAATCTCGCTACCACTCAGGTGAGGCGCGCGCCGGTGGTGGGCGGTGGCGCGCCGGCAGCCGCCGCCGCCCGGGCCGGGCTCCGTCAGCCGCCGGCGCGGCCCGGCCCGGTCGGGCGACCCCGTCGGCGCCGCGGCCGGTGCAGACGCCCGGAGCGGCGGCGCGCTGCGTCACAGCGGGCTACGCTGGCTGCCGGCGCCCGCACCGATCGGCGCTGGTGCTAGGCCGCTATTGGTGATGCTCGACGCGTGGTGGCGGCGGTGATTTGTGATTCTAAATAGTTCCGGTCACGTGCAGAGGGAGGAAGCCGTGTTGTTGCCCGTGATGGTGTTGATGGTGCATGTTGTTGTTTCGGTGTTGACGGTGATACCATTCGTGTTGTTGACATTGACATTGTGGTTGACAGCAGCCTTCACTGTTCTATCAGCCACGTTGTCAGCGCCTATGATGACGATATCTTTTCTGAGCTGGTGCTGGCGTGGGTGATAATATGCCAGCGTAATTGCGCTGATACGATGGAAGCGCTGATGACGGGATGATGCAATGAGACGAGCCGCCGCCGTCCATAACACACTGAGGCCGGGCGCGGCACTGACGGCGGTGCGGTGTGGCGCGGCAGAGGTGCGGCAGGAGGCAGTGCAGCAGGCCATCGCCGCCATGCAGAGCCGGCCCAAGCAGCTGCCCATGCCGTCCAAGCGGCAGTCGGTGATGGCGCGCAGTCCGGAGGCCGAGCGACGCCGGCGCCGCGACTCGGACAACGGTGAGTGGCGGCCGCCCGGGCCGAGCGTCGGCGCCGGCTCCCCGCGGGCGGCGCGCTGCTGTGCGCGGGTCCCTCGACTCAGGGTCGTACTCGCTGATCCCCTGTGATGCACGTTGCTGCTTCCAGTCAGAGGGTGCGTCTGTCGGTAAGCTTCGGTGTCTGTGTGGCGGGTGGTGGTGGTTCGCATTGCTGGTCGGTGGTTTGCAGTTGTGCCCGGGGACCAGTCATGTGCTCCGGGGCGGGTCACAAGCTGTGCCTTGCTCAACACCGGGGACCAGTCATGTGCTCCGAGGCGGGTCACAAGCTGTGCCTTGCTCAGCACCGGGGACCAGTCATGTGTTCCGAGGCGGGTCACAAGCTGTGCCTTGCTCAGCACCGGGGACCAGTCATGTGCTCCGAGGTGGGTCACAAGCTGTGCCTTGCTCAGCACCGGGGACCAGTCATGTGTTCCGAGGCGGGTCACAAGCTGTGCCTTGCTCAACAGGGCTGGCGGGTTTTTGCTCCCAGTCCGAATCATTTTGCGTGTAGTTATTGATAAATGTGGGAAGTGATTACCTTAATGGCCAGCTTAGGAAAATGAGGGCTGACTTCTCATGCAAATGAAATGGTAAAGTGACCCATTGTTAACGCCGGGCCGGACGTACCAAAGGCGGCCGCCTCCCTGTACAGCAGCGTCAGCCTCTGCCTGTGTCTGTCTGTCTGTCTGTCTGTCTGTCTGTCTGTCTGTCTGTCTGTCTGTCTGTGTGTATGCGGTATGCCATATTGGCCGTGCGAGCGGTGCCGGCGGCGGCCGCCGCGGCCGCGGGCGCCAGTGATGGTCGGGCACCCCCGCCGCCAGCCGCCGGCCACCGCTGACTCACCGCTCGGCTGTTTGGGCCGGCGCCGCGGCCGCCCGTCCCGTCGGCCCGCCGCTCTCGGGAGCGCGTGGGACCAGCTGGACCGCACGGGACCGCTGTCGGTCGGCCCGTGTGTCCGGCTGTGGGCTCCCGCGGGCTCCTGTGGCGGCTGATCTTCAACGCGTGAAGCTGTCGGTCGGTCAGCTCGTGTGCCGTTAGTCCAGCGGGTCGGTCCGCGTGTTTGTCGGCCCGTGTGTCAGCCGGCGTGTGTGTGCATCGGTGCGTCTGAGCTGGTCGCGCCGGGCCGGCAGACTCGAGCTCGGACGAGGACGACAGCTCGGTGCCGGGCGAGCCGGCCACGCCGGAGGTGGACCGGGCGACGCGGCACCAGGGCCCGCCGCCGTCCGACACCAGCAGCCTGGGCTCGGCGCGCGACACGCCGCCGCAGGGCCGCGCCCCGGCCGGCCGCGCCGCCGCCGGCCGCTGCCGGCCAGCCGCCGCCGCCGCAGCAGCCGCAGCCGCCGCCACCGCCCCTGCCGCCGCCCGTCCAGAACAGGTGCGCTGCCCGGGCCGCCGCCGACCGCAGCACACCTGGCGGCCGTTAGTGGCGGCACGAGACGCCAGCGAACCGGAGGGCGGTGCGGCGGCCGAAATTAGGTTGTCTGTGCACGGGAGTGCATTGTTTCTGGGCGGTGATGGAGGCGAAGTCTCGCGTGAAACTGGGTCTCGTGAGATCGTTAAAGCGAAGCTGTTTTTGTCGCTGGTAGGGATAAACGGTATATTGATGTCTTGAGACTTCTGTGCAAGATCTCTCATGCGGGTAAACAGTATATCTCGTTCTCAAGACCTGTCGAGTGTGAAAGTTTCCATGCGGGTAAACGAGCTCCCATACAGGTAAACAGTACCTCTCTTGCTGAAGACCTGTCGAGTGCGAAAGTTCCCATGTGGGTAGACAATGCCTCTCTTTTTGAAGACTTTTTGAGGGCAAAGGCTCCCATGCGGTTAAAGAGTACCCCTATTGCTGAAGGCCCGTCGAGTGCGAAAGTTCCCATGCGGGTAAACAGTACCTCTCCTTTTGAAGGCTTATCGAGGGCAAAGGCTCCCATGCCGGTAAAAAGTACTTGTCTAAAGACCAATCGAGCGCGAAAGCTCCCATGCGAGTAAACAATACCTCTTGCGGAAGACCTGTCGAGTGTGAAAGTTCCCATGCGGGTAAATCGCACACCTCTTTCTGAAGACGCCTCGAGTGCCACAGCTGCTCCCAAAGGATAATGCGTTGTATCTCGCGAGATCAGTCGAATGCTGCCTGCTCGCGCCCTGCCTCACTGCTGCCGGTGATGATGCGTCCTGGCCTTCAGAAGGGCCCTCGCATTCGCAGCGAAGATACCGCCCGGCCGGCGCTGGAGGCCGCGGCGCGCGTGCGGGACGGAAGGCGCGGAAACTCGCCGACCGGAGGCCGTGTTTCCGATGAACTAGACGGTGTGGTTCGGACTAGCCACGCCGCACTGGCGGGTGACGCACTGTCTTATCTGCCGGAGATCCGCCGCGCATTGTCGGTGGCGCGCCGGAACCGGTTCCGCTCCGCTCCGATTCGGGGTCGGCCGTGCGGGTCACGTCCTCAGGCGTCAAACGCCAGCAGAAATGTCCCGATTCAGGGAAGTTTCTCTTTCGAAACATCCTCCCGGTGAGGCATCATTATTTTTAGTCCTGGTCTGGTCGCCACAGACTTTGCGCTGTGGGAGCCTAGCCAGCGGACAAGTCGGCTTGTTCGACGAAAACATGCTGTCACGCTAGAGTTGTTTGCCGAAGCTTTGGATGTAATTTGTACGACACAGAGCTCTGACAGGTGTCATTACACCCGTCCACAGCCTGTACATATAAGATTCATATCGGGTGCCGGCCGTTGCGTGTTTGGACGACGCCGGCGCCGGGCGGCGGGCGTGGCCGAAGCTGTCAGGCTCACGCAACAGCCGCGCCGCCCCGCCCCGCACACACCTGGACCGGTGGGAGGTGACGGCACCGCAGCCGGGCGACCTCGCCGGCAGCCCACGCTGACCGGGGCCCGCTGCTCAGGACCCGCTCACGCCACCGGCCTGTAGGCCTGCCCCCCTGAGGGAGCCTCCCAAGGTGCCGTCTGGCCCGCTCACAGACGGACGTCAGTCCCGCTCAGAAGAGCCGCCCTCAAGCCTGCTCAGGAACCGCCCTTACAGGAGCTCAGAACCCGCCGTCAGCCCTCGCTCAGAAACAGCGCTCAGTCCCGTTCAGAAGACCCGCCCTCAAGCCTTCTCAGAAACCGCCATCACACGCGCTCAGAACCCGCCGTCAGCCCTCGCTTAGAAACAACTCTCAGTCCCGTTCAGAAGACCCGCCCTCAAGCCTTCTCAGGAACCGCCCTCACAGGCGCTCAGAACCCGCCGTCAGCCCTCGCTTAGAAACAGCGCTCAGTCCCGTTCAGAAGACCCGCTCTCAAGCCTTCTCAGAAACCGCCATCACACGCGCTCAGAACCCGCCGTCAGCCCTCGCTTAGAAACAGCGCTCAGTCCCGCTCAGAAGACCCGCCCTCAAACCTGTTCAGAAACCGCCCTCACGTGCGCTCAGAACCCGCCGTCAGCCCTCGCTTAGAAACAGCGCTCAGTCCCGCTCAGAAGACCTGCCATCAAGCCTGCTCAGAAACCGCCCTCACGTGCGCTCAGAACCCGCCGTCAGCCCCCGCTCAAACACAGCCACCCGTCAGAACCCGCCCTGAGCTCCGTTCAGAACACCTGCCCTCAGACCCGCTCAGACCCCGACCTCACCGTGAAGTGAGTCATCGCTGATTAGCCGGCGGGGCTGGCCGTGCTTGTGCCGGGGTGTCGCTGCTGCTCCAGTGTTTCCAGACGCTGTTTGCGTCGCGCTGCGTCAGTCAGCCACGCGGACGTCACGCCGTTGGTCCGCGGCAGGCCGACCCCTGTGTGGGAAGTGTGTGGAGAGGGTTGCGGCCTGAGGACGGGCTGTGGCCGCCCGGCCGCAGGTGCAGCGGAGGCGCGGCGACCGGTGCGCGATGGTGTTTGCGCCCGATAACGGAACAGCTGTCATGACAGCGCTGAAATTGTGCGACAATGGCATCATGTGGTTCGTTCAATCTACCTCAACCAGTCACGTAACTGTCGTTTTTACGGACATCAATGATGGCATGTGTCAAGTGCTCGGAAATGTTATTGCGTCTCAATTGATTGGTGACTTCAAACGCGCCGGTGTCTTCGCTAATTTTTGTTAAAGTAGGCTGTTTTCGAATTCATCGACATTTGTGTAGAGCATCATCGTGGATTATGTTACATTCGTCCAAGCGTCACTTCTTCTGACACGCCCCCTCACGTCATCACCCGTCGGAGCCCATTTTCGGTGCCCGGGCGGCACCTGCTGGGGAGCCTCACGTGCCTCTCCCGGCCACTAACGGCGCCGGCGCCGCCGACAGGCTGAGCGGCGGCTCGCATTCGTCCAACCAGGAGCGGCAGCGCGCCCGCCTGCGGGACGAGATGACCCAGCTCTCCGAGGTCATGGACAACCTGGCGCCCTGTGAGTGCCCATGCCCGTCCGCCCGCGCTCCCGGCCGCCTGTTTATTTTGCAAACAGCCGCGTGGAGTCAGCGCACCCAGGCCGTGACGGCGGCGGCTGCCGCCGGCTGGCGAGGGCTGCCGACGAACCTCCCGTCGGCCCAGCGTTCCACCGTCCCGCCGTCGGTCCAGCGTTCCGTTCCCGTCGGGTGCCGCGGACGGGGTCGGCGGTCGGCCGCCGCTGAGCGGAACCGGACCCCGCCGCCCAGCGGCCCATCGATCGGGCGTTAGCGCGCGGGCCGCTCGGAACCGGCGCGCCGGCTCGAGGGATGTGTAATCGAATCGGGATGCGGGCGGGCAGCTGTGGTCTGTTTGTGGACGCCCGTCATGCCTTGAAGACCGGAGTATGCGGGGCGTCTGAGCGGATGTGGGTGTTGGTGTCCGCGCTGCAAACACCGAGGCCTGTTGTCTGTCCCCGTGAGTGGCGGTCTGGTTGGTGCCGGTGACAGACCGCTGAACACCAGACCAACAGTGTGTTGTTGGCGACGTTTCCGATTGGCCGGAGGCCATCTTTAATTACTTGTTGTAGGTCGTTCGGTATGGCCTCACCTTGCGTAATTTATGAATGACCTCATATGGTTTGTGAGTGACGTGGTGTGTCGTTCAGGAGTGACCTGATCTGCTATTATGATTCTGCTTCGTATAAGATACCGCATGTTGTGTATGGGCGAGGCGATATTATTTAAATCAGTCTTGACTTCTTGCGTATGGCGGTACATCGCACGTGTAACCGCACGTCTGTCAGCAACCACACATTGTCTGTCAGTGACTCCATGCCGTCTGTTAGCAACCTCATGTCAGTGACCACACGTCTGTCAGTGACTACACGCCGTCTGTCAGTGACCACATGCCGACTGTCAGTGACCGCATGCTGTCTGTCAGTGACCACACGCGTCTGTCAGTGACCACATGCTGTCTTTCAGTGAACACATGTATGTTAGTGACCACATGTTTGTCAGTGACCACACGCCGTCTGTCAGTGACCACACGCCGTCTGTCGAGTGGCTGGCCGCCGCCGGCGCCGGGCGCAGCTGTGCGCGCCGTGCCCCACGCCGCTGTGTGTGACCGCCGGCGCCGCCCGTCCCCGCCAGACTGCGAGCCGCCGGATGTGACGCACAACACGGGCAGCGGGCGCAGCTCGCGCTACCAGCCGCCGCACATGGCCTCAGTGCGGGTCAACAGCAGCACCAGCATCACGGCCGCTGGACGAGGCGCACGGAGGTATGTCCGTCCCCCCCCCCCCCCCCCCCCCCCCGCCTCTCTCGCCACCGCCAGTGCGGCTGGCGTGGTCGGCTTGCAGCCAGGAGCAGGTGTGTCACGACTTGCTGAATTTCCGCGCTGTCGTCCGTACGGCCTAGAAAAAGACGTTTCCGTGTCGGAGAGCGTGTGGAGTTTTGCGTGCTGACGGCGGGGGAGCCGGCTTGTCGTGCCGCGTCCGGGCGCGGTGCGGTGCAGCCCGGCCGGCACCTCAGTCAAGGCCGCTGCCGGCCGGTGCCGCCGGTACCGGTGTGACGGGGTTACTCGGTGCGGCGTCAGTGGGCTCGGAGGAGCCGCAGCCGGCCGCCCCCGCACGGCGCCGGCGCCGGCCCGCACGCCAGCCGACCCTCGTGTGTGGTTTGCGCGGCTGTGGTGCGCGGCTGCTCGCCGGCCGGCGGTGGGAGGCGTCTGGCCCGCCGGGCTCAGCCGCCCAGTGCTCTCAGTCGTCCGACAGCGTTGTCCGCGGTGAGTCAGCCCTGCCGGGCCAGGGCGCCGTCGGCAGGGCGCGCCGCCCTGACGGGCTCGCGCCGGCTGGCATCGCGTACGCCACACCGGCCCGACCGCTTCGCTGTGTCTCGTCCGCCTCGTCTCGCCTCGCCGGCGCCCCTCGGTAGAGTGAGGCAGCCTCGACAGCGGTGGTGGAGGACGCGTGCCGACCGGAGCCGCGCCCCGGGCGATCGGTTGACCTCGGGACGGCCGGCGCCGGAGAGCCGGGCGGCCGGCGCCCGAGACCGGTCTCTGTTTGGACAGCTCGCGTGCGCCGGTCACGACTCGGCCGGCGCCGAGGCCGCGACGGCGCCTCGCTGACCCCGCGCTGGCGCCACCGAGTGCTCTCTCGGGGCGACTCGGCGTCTCGCGTCCTGTGTCAGCGACCTGTCCTGTCGACGCGAGGACGGCCGCCGCGGTGTGGCAGTGTGTGCCGAGAGTGCTGCAGTGCAAGGCTCCGTTCACACGCGGAGGGTCGGCCAGACGCGGATGCAGCGGCGGTGAGCGGGGCTCCAGACGGTGCTGCGGGCCGGGCGGCGCGCCGGCGTGGCGCCGCGGCCTTCCGGCGGGCGCCTGGCTCCGCCGCCGCCGCCGGCCGCCCTGACTCACCGCCGGGAGCGGTGACGCGGCCGCTCTGAGGCGCAGACAGGCACGCGCGGGCCCGTCTGCGCCGCCGAGCGTG